CTAACATTTATTTCTGTAACTTTACAAGACACAACTGATTTGTATAATGCTGTACCTGCGAGTCCTGTGTTCAGCCTCCTTTATGATGTAACTGGGCAACTTATCAATAGAATTCTGTCATGGAAGAAGATAAAGATTTTTCAGCACAAATAGATCCTACATACACTAAACCAGGGGTAGGCAAACACTGGCCCTCCAACTGTGGTGCAACTACAAATCCCATTAGGCATTCTAAGACTGACAACGACCGACATGACTCCCAGAAGCAGATACATGATGGGCATTGTAGTTTCACCACAGCTGGAGTTTGCCTTACCTGTCCTTAACAATAGATTTTCTTGTTTGGAAGAAAAGGAAAAAAAATAAAATCCGACAGCACCTTAAAGAAAACCGGTCACTGTTCGGTGGCCCTAAAACACAGTGGGGAGAATTGAAAACTGGAGCAGACAGAATCTGGCGCTGCTGCCCATGGCAACTAATCAGCGTCTCACCTCAGTTTGTTTAGTTAATCTTTGAAAATAAAAGAGAGAAGCCGATTGGTTACCATGCACAGCTGCTCCAGATTTGATACATTCCCCTCAGTGATTTTACTTTATATGTGACACAATAGTTGGCAATCCTAACTCACCAGATCTTTGACGGTTAGCCTGCAGCTGTAGCAGAGGAGAGGAGCCATGTCTCGGGTCCCTGTAACACTGAGGAGGAAATAAACAAGACTTGAAAAACAGCCCAATACATCAGCAGTAGCTGTACGTTTTTATGGCACGTGAAAACCGGCATTATCCCTCTCTAAAGAGACTCGCGAGGAACAAAACAGACATTTCCCAGCAAACTCACCAGCCAGCCTGCGACTAAAAATGCTCACTGTAACTACTAGGGGTAAACAGAGGATTAAGTAGCACAACTTTTGCAGAGTATGTGGAAGCCGCACGGCCTCGTCAAGGCCCCTCTGTACAGTGCGGTCCTAACTCTAATCTATGAGAGCCTCCATCTTGGAGCATATATAGCAGAGTAGAAATTGGGTGCAGCTTTGCCAGGAGGTAACCCAACCTCCTTAACCTACGAAAAAAGACACTAGGTCTTATTTTCGGGGATGTCTTACCTGGCTGCAGCTGTCCACTCTGCCGTCCAGGGAGCCACAGACCGGTGTGCGGGGGGCCGTGCCTGGCGTGGTAAACACCCGGTAACGGGTGTGTGCAATGGTCGGGTCTTTTCTGCCCGTGCGTGCCCGCAAATGCAGCAGTGCCGTCCGTCCGTTTTTTTTACTACGGGCGGACGGCAAGAGGTTAAAGGCAAAGGGACACACCAGAAGTCACGCACATCACAATATCAGCTGAAGCCCCCAGATCAAGCACACCCAAATAGAAATCTGCCACTGAGCTCATACTGTTAAGTGATGCCGCATCTTTCCCTGTGCAGATTGTAACTTTGCTATATAGGTTGGTACCGTATGTGAGCACTTCTGACCGTCTTTGCATGGGTCTCTTCATACACCTGGGAAGCTCACGGGGTCAAATGTGCTGGGAGTGCCTCCTACCTGACAACACTGTGATGGTGCATGGGACAAAATGACAAGCTCTATCAATACAACAATCACCTGTTTGTACAGCAAGCCGTTTCCTCACAGCACTGCCCTCCACTGCAGCACTGTTTCCCAGAATCCTTTGCAGGAATAACCCTTTGCGAGGATTTCTTCTCGGAGAGCTGCTGAGACACTTGTGTGGCAGAGAAGGCAGAAGCGGGACCTGTCGTGACAAAAGATCTGAAAGTCAGGTCAATAACAATCATTTACACTTTGATCCCACCTTTGTCTCCATTGCTAGCAGTATAGGTTGGGTGTCAGAGTAAAATGATGTCATATGGAGTGTACTGACTGATGTCAACTATGAAGATATTAGGGCAAGTAGAAATACAAATGATCAAGCGTTATACCGTATGCAAACTGACAATGACAGACTAATGGACAGATGACATCTATGTAAAAATGAGCTATTATAGCAACACAAAAGGCCATGTTCATAGAGAGAAATGAGCGCATGACAATAGGAGGGGTTTGCAGACTACGGTATTGCACTCACTTCTCCCTATAAACATGGTGTGAATGGTGAGTGGAGCCCAATTTGAGAACCTGAACAAAGTGTCAGCTGTCGGGAAGTACAAGCTGCTGTTACAATATTACATCCCATTCATTGACACTAACGTAACATAAACCTGCAACCTTTTGTCCTTCCGCAAGGTGGCACTGCAGCCACTCAGTAATGACTATAGTGGTCACAGTATGCGCTTGTAGGGCAGTGGTTCTCAACCTTTCTAGGGCCGGGACCCCTTGGTAACATTTGCCAAGTTGTGGTGACCCCCCCCCCCCCAACGGGGGGGGGGCGCCAC